ATCGATGAGAAGAATCTAACCTATGAGGTCGCAACATGATTCATGCAATTCTGAAGAAGTTATGAGCTGTTGAAGTTCAAAAAGCGGTTTTTTACCTGTTTCTTTAAGAGCCTGAATCTCGGCGGTATCTTGATGGATCGGTAAGGCTAAGACAAAATTCGATAGAGAGGTTTTTGCTCTACAAAACCTATGAAGTCGCAACATTGCACATCTTCACATTCCAGATTTATAGGAGTCAGAACGTCAGCTGTCACTATGTAACCTAAAATCGCTTAATTTTTTAATAAAATTCTCGTTCTCGGCGGTCACTGCTCAGATCGACCTGATTTTTTCACTATCTGGTAGAACAACACTAACCCTTTAAAAACTATGAAGCCGCAAATGCTGACATCTTCAACCGCAAGATTCATAAAAGTGGAAATTTCGCATAATTTATCGTTATTTTATTATTCAAAATTCTGGTTCTCGGCGGTTACTGCCTGGATCGACCTACTTCCTTCGCACTGCGTTATAACAAAATTTACTTGACAAAATCTGTGAAGTCTCGCTGACTCTCACTTCAAAATTTGTTTTAAATATACATAAATGCCGCCGTATACATTAAAATATGCTTTCAATAATCTTTTTTTGCGTTTGTTTTGCTTTCCGCGCACTATCGGCAACGACCTGGAAGGATAGGCTTAGTCGACGTTAACGCTCCCCCCCCCCCCTCCACCCGGTCGACGTTTTTGGGAGGTGAGTGTCCGGCACCACCTTCACTTTTGGGCGGCCAGTGGTAGCTGGGACCACCTTCACTTTTGGGGGGGGGGGGGGAGCCGGCTCCATCTATCGCACCTCTGGTCGTGACAATTTCCAGCACGACCAATAGTGACTAACTAGGATCACAACCGAAATACAAGAAGATCGGCATGCGACGAACTCGCAACACTTGTCTTGTCGCGATGAATCGCGGAACGAAAGCGTGATTCAACGCGAGAATCCATCACCAATGAATCACGCGAAAAAATCTGCTCAAGGCCTAACAGTGGCGTGGTGCTAATAAGAATAATTGAGTTATTAAAATATCGATTTGATACACCACAACCTTCGACTTGTGGTTCATCGCGATTTTCGTGACTTCGACATATCATTTGTTTTTATCAGAACGCCTAGCACTGTTTGCTTAGATAATCAGTGGAACTTTGGCAGTTTTGAGAATTCAAAGGAAGAAAAATGACTTCATAGAAAAGATGGTTGACCGACGAGGATTGTCAGGGATCATACAAAAAGCTGGAAAATGCGGGTTTTACTCCTTCTCGCTCCATCATCAATATGTTCAATATGTTTATTGTGAAGGATAATAGGAATACTTACGGATAGGTAGACAAGGTAAAATCCAGATATCTGGCGTTTCAGGGTAAGCGTCTTTTAAAGCTGTGATCCCCTCCTTGGTGGGGATGTTAACATGTGGCCCTTAGATAGTAGACCTTCAAGTGCTCGTATCCCCAGGTCCCCTTCTGATCCATAAGCTAAATTCTGAGAAAACTTTTCAATGTTCACTTTCACTCACCGAATTGGGGGAATTGGCGGTGGGACTTTGTATATATGCTTCACGATTAAGTCGGATTGGCGAGTACGGTGCAGAACATTCCCACTCTCCGGCAGCACCAAAAACTAACACCTTCGTTAATCATATTGCCGAGCCACTACCGTATTTCTTTGATATAGTATGCGAGCAGACCACGATAAGGTCCAAGACATATCGTTTATTCGTTGACCGTAACGACTGCTGACCGCGCGGCGACCGCTGCGCGTGCATGATGTTTTCGTAGAAAAGATGAATAGAAAGAAAACAGAGGATTCTTCTCATCTTTATAATGTAGAAAAGAAACAAAGAATTCTTCTCATCTTAAGCCACGGTCCAACTTGTCACTTTTTTGCAAGTTTAGAAGGCACGCGTCGCAGTCGCCACGCGGTCGGCAGTCCGTACGGTCAACGAATGAACGATACTTCACGCGGTTTAAGTCACCACGCAATCTGGAAATTTGCATATCTTCATATTCAGTAATAGTCGACCCCAAAGGCACAGCATGTATAATGTTCATAGGTTGATGAAATGCCCTATCTTCTGCACATTAAATAACCCCTTACGATGAGTTATGATTGGATATTTGCCAAATTGCGTCGACAAATCGAGGTAAGTTTTGGGCCTAAGGCTTTGTATCTAGAGACGACTGTTCAAACGAGCGTATCGCGCGGGGCTATAATATCTGCTCCAAGACGAAGGCGGTCGCCCAAATAGGTTGAAAACATGCAAAGCTGCGGCGCGCGCGCAATTGTCAACCACAGGGCGCGCGCACGCTCGGCAGCGGTCATTCACGCGAGCGTGCGCGCGACCCGTGGTTGACAATTGCCCGCGCGCTGCGTGCCGTCAGCCTTGCATGCTGTCAACCTATTTGGGCGACCGCCTTCGTCATGGAGGAGATATTAGCCTGTGCCAGTCGCGTACTACCTTCTTATACTCGCACGCAACGCCAAAACTTCGTGCCACGTTTGCGCGTATGGCGTGAGCATTCAAGTCGGCTTCATTGAATGTAGATTTGCGGATGCGTAGCTCATATCGTGTCTCCTTGGCTCGCGGCGCGAATTTTGCCTATCGCCTCGCTTGGATTCTGCACCTTTTTCGCAAGCGTGCCCTCTAACCATTTTCCCAAGTTTAATCAACCACTGGAGTTCGGCCTTCCCCAAGCTCAGGTCTGGGAAATTTATTAGAGAGCGTGTTTGCGAAAGAGGTGCAGAGCCAAGCGAGGCGCGCGAGATTCGAACCCACCCACTACTTCGCCGCCGATCGCTTTCACCGGAAGGTTTTAAGAGGCACTAAAATTGTTGTCGCATTCCGCATCACAGCGAGTATAGCCCCACAGGCCAGCTCTCAGCCGTGAATCAGCCACCTCGAAGGCATCTGGTCCAAAACGATATATACCGGGCGACTTTGGCAGATGGAGCTATGCCCAAAAAGCATGGCAACATAACAGGAGAGGCTTAAGGGAGATTCTGGCATTTGGCAGATTACTCAAAGGTGTGACTGCTAAAAGGGAAGAGGGGAGGCATCGCACGAGGACTGGAGCCGTTGCGTCCCATTAAAGTATTTTGTTCGGCCATTTGCTACGTATTATGACCGAACCGACCTATACATTAATCATCCCGCAGTAAAGCGGGCGGGTTCGGGGGTCAACGGGGCTCTTCTGTTGTAAGCTTCGGCCATTTGCTACGTATTGTGGCCGAACCGACCTATACATTAATCATCCCGTAGTAAGGCTTGAGATATACCTGACGATAGGTCGCTATAGCTGACGTTAAGACGCTGCCAGCAGCAACGCCTTTTGTGCGTATTGATTGACGCCAGGCGACGCTGCCAGCAGCAACGCCTTTTGTGCGTATCGATTGACGCCAGGCGACGCTGCTGCTTCTAGCTGCTGCAGCCAGCGTGAAACATACCCGCTATAGCTATCGATGCTGCGCTGCTCTGCGCTGCTTCTTGGTGCTCGTTGCTGCTCTTCGCTGCTACGCGATATGAAGCTCACTTTTGGTGAGCTGCTCTCAGCTGCTTCATGCTGCTAACGCTGATTTTGCTCGGATTTGCCCCTTTTTAACATATTTTTCAACGTCTGAAGCATTTCTAGAGCGCTTGTTGTGATACCGGACTGTGACAAATTTGCACCAAAAGTCGACAAAAAATTGAATCTGAACAACTGCACAGAACGTTGGCGAAGCAGAATTCAAATCAAATTGGAGTAACGATAAAAAGCTAGAGGATCTTGACAATTTAGTGGGATGTTACCAGATACATCTCAATACTTTAACGGCAGCTATGACCTAGATTGACCCAGTTGTTGCCTCAAGCACACATCAAGATTCTACTACGACACTCGCTTGGATATATGTCAAATGATTATGATTTTCACAGTATATGCAACATTTGATTTGCCACTTTATGCTTGTTATGAAGAAAAATTTTTGATGAGGACAGGATCACTTCTGAATCTCATATAATCATATTTTTCAATTTTGGTAGTTCTCAAGACTTACTTTCCTAATGGCTTAATCTAAGCGTAGTAATGGGTAAAGCTATTTCTTTCTTGCACCCAAAACGTACTCAGCGCAGCAGCCACGAGCAGCTAAAGGCAGCGCACACATCAGCGATTCGCCAACACCCGCTATACCTCTATCGTCAGGTATATCTCAAGCCTAAAGCGGGCGGGTTCGGGGGTCAACGGGGCTCTTCTGTTGTAAGCTTCCTCAGTGTCACAATAAACGTTCAAAGCGACGTGCTGTGTTTGCTCCCAGAGTCAAAGTTGCCCTATAGTGGCACATATGTAGCACGCGATTGGGAGAGAGGTAATTTGATGTAAGAGACGTTCAGCGCTTGCAGTGGTGGTGAAGATCCATCGCACGCAGAAACGGGAACTCGGATTTGCTGCTCCCGTTTCTGCGTGCGAACATCCATCGCACGCAGAAACGGGACCTCGGATTTGCTGCTGCGTGACGAAGGCGCACAATATCTTTGTTCGCCAACGCGGCTTTATTAGCCGCAGAGCGCATGAGGCGCAGAATTTACAACTGTGAAGATACGCGCGCGCCGCGTTCGCGCACACTCAACTTGTACTGCTTCTGCGCCTTCGTCGTGCCTTTAGTTTACGTATGTTTACGTATGAATAGTAATCATCATATGATGTTGCTGGCGGCTGTCATGGCTGCGCAGCTGATGACTTGAGATTGCCTATTTATGTATACAGTGTGTCAACCACATGCTCTCTTTTCCGTAAACGCAACGAGCTCCGAGCCAGGTGCGCGCGTAGGACTCGGGCATGCAAATGGGCCTCATCGATTGGAGGTCCATACGCAGGCCCTTGCGTTGCGCACGCGTAGTTCCCATGCGAAAGGGAGTACGTAATTGACATTGACTGTACACGTGTTTAACATTCACTTAATTCAAACAAACATAAAACGTACATGTTCCAGTCATAGATGCCCTAATTCTTAGTGATGGCAGAGCAGGAACCTGCTGAGGCTGCCAAGAGGAGGAAGGACTCGATATTGTGCAGTCTTGTACCACAGCGTTGCCATCATCACTTTTTGACTAATAACTTCCGTGTCAATCCGTTTGTGCTCATCAAGAAGCACATGTTCATTTTCAAGAAATTCTTTTCAGAGTAAGTTTTTATGCCCTAAAACTTACCTTACAAGCTGGTGAATACCACTCTTTTAGGCCATCTACTGATGCGGTCGCCGGCTATAGCTTGTCGTTCGCAGTGAATCTAAGCATTAGGAGACTCAGGCCCGGTGAAGACCGAGGTGGGTGTTTGAATTATCTGTTCAACAGTGCCGCACTTCGGCAAGAGGTAACGTTGATTCGTTGATCGCACGGACTGGACATCACGGAGCACGCGTCGCGCGTAATGGCCCTAATACAAATTCTTCCGTTATATAAGTCGTGCTCTCGAAACATTTCAGCCGCGTCGCGCGTGGTCCGCTACGTTTGAGCAGTCCTTGCGTCTTGTAGAAAATTGAAATAATTTTTAGAATTTTTTCAAAGATTCAAATTAGCCTTCTATATAAAATTCACCGTCATGTAAGCCTTTGCAGGCACTAGTACGCTTGGCGCAGGAACGAGCAACTGTCGTTCTGAAGATGTTGCTCGACTTGAAGATGAAATCAGAGATCTGGAACAGCGCTACAGGAGCAAGGTTGATGAATTGTCACGACTTCGGTAATGCTGCTTGGAAGTTGTATATAGGGTTACCATGTTTATATGTAAATATATGATCTCAGTAACTCGATTCTCATAAACTTGTTGTTGTTGTCGCAAACTGAATCAAGAGTCTGCTGGCAATATTTGTCGTGTTTCTTCGCTGTCAAAGTCAGTTTTTTGACAGCGAAGAAACAAGAGAACAATTTGCCTTTGGAAATGTTTTTGCTCTAGTCCAGTGATTTGCAAAGGCTATAGAAAGACCGCTACAAGTGTAGCCTGCTGAAAGGCGTATGTAGATATCATCTACGCTTCCAGATTCATATAGTCAAAATAACTTGGGTTAGTTTAAAGGCACCGTCCAGCCAAAGTGGGGGTCCACGAGATTCGATGGCATACTAATGTGGGGCCCCCACACTAGGTCAACCCCAAAGTTTCCCCGCAAAAGATTGCTTCTGGAGCGAGAAAACCGCTCCGGAAGGGACGTATCTCCGTATCTCCAGCCAACTGGTCACTCCGCCCATTTTGCAAGTTTGGCGGACTGCGGCGCCTATATACGCTGGGCATATATCAGCGCCGCAGCCCTGCGACTTGCACCTGCACCGTCCGCCAGGTTCTCCAAAAAAAGGGATTTTTGGGGGTTTTGTGATTTTTCGACTCAATATTGGAGATCAGGGCCTTCGGGAAGCCTGTAAGCGACCAAAACATGGAGTCGAGAATTTGAATGGACGGTGCCTTTTAAGGCAGTGGATCGGCAAAATCCAACAACTCGGGATTCTAACGCGGTAGTCCTTATCGCCCAACTATGAAAGCAGTGCAATCCCGGTTGCACAGCATGCTTTTACTGCCGAGAAAATCGCTCTCAAACTTACACGCGCAGGCCAAACTTACACGCATCTGGACGAGTTGGCAATTTCCTTCCTATCATTGGAGGCTGCCCGCCGCAACGCTATAACCATTGGGTTTCGCCACGATTTAGCGTCATCGGCCTTGCTCCAATCGTCGAATATCAAAGGGAAGGGCATTAAAAGACGCTCATTTTCGCCGTTTTCGAGCTTTCAAAAGTGGATTTTCGGAATCAGCATATTGAAAAACCCTGTATCGGTGGTTCGTGGGCTTTACTGTAGCCTGAGGCGTAACAGCGCCTGTTGAAGTGTGTTATACAGAACACATAGCTAATAAGCTTTATGAGTCAGACGACGTGCACGTGTTAGTGCAGTGGTAGAATGCTGAGTATGATAGGCGTGCCGAAGTAACATCATAAACACCTGAGCAATAGCATACTCATATCACAGCAGGTCATGCTTATGGCATGACCTTTACGGTGCTCAGCCAGAAGTAATGATATGGTTGCAAGGAAGGTGCAGACAAAGTCGGCACAAACCCCAGGTAAGCGCAAATTTGATTAGGTTGAGATTTGTTCGAGTCACTGCCTTCAAGGGCTATTCATCTAAAACACCCATGTTTCAAATCGCTTCGAGAACAATGATAAGGCTAGAGAATCCATGGGTATAGGCGATGCTACACACGCATGGACAGGGCGCCACTGCGGAAGTGCCGGCGTCTCTCACAAACGCGCAATCATTTCCCTAGCCGCCTAATGTCTTTCTCTTATACGAACAATCTTACCCAAAGACAACGGCGCCCAGCCTCCGCGTGTATGAATTGCCTATATTATATGATAATCACACCCAGCTAGTTCAAAACACACTCTATTGTCTTAGCTGCTCGTCAAGAATTCCTCGTACAACTCTGTGCGAGCGCGTCCTTTCTGACCTTTACACACACCCTGAAGCTCGCATTCGGGTTGCGACGATAAGACTCAGAAGAGATAAATTTGAGAGGGACGATGTCTAGATATCGCCTTTGAGCATGTCCGCAAATACTAGTGTCATCCAAAACTTTACGGTAACCGTAGCTCCACAAAAGTGGATGTTCTCGATTAGAATCAGAAGAATCGGAGATACGTGCATCGACCTGGCAACAAAGTTAGACTACGGACTCCGGCGGACGATTGAGATTGCGGTTGTATCTCCTCTCCCAGCTATGAAATGAGCGAGACATCGTAGACTTTGGTTCTCCATGAATCCCCTCTTTCAAGCATTGGCTTCGCACTCTCGCTCTCAAATCAGCACACCTACAAGCTGGCGCACACCCGCTTTGTGGCATGAGTGCGATATCGGTACGACACTAAAGAAGAGAGTATCGACGTAAGAAGTGAAGATCCTAGGTTGAACGGCATTAGAATTTTCACCTTGTCCATGCGTCGTACATTTGGCAGTATCAGATCTCGGCAATTTTGCATGAGAACCGCTTTTCCCGCAACATAAACAAGTACAGGTGCTTTCAACCTGAATGTCACGCTCGACGTGGTTCACTCCCTCGCGAGTCGCCTCGCTTGGGTCTTTCACGTGGTACAACACCGCATCCGCTAAGGCCTTCGCCGTATCGGGTGCGCTATTTTACCACGTGAAAGACCCAAGCGAGGCGGCTCCGAGGATCTGAACCATGTGGACCGTGACACTCAGATTGAAAGCACCTGTACATCGCCTGTCCCCCAGAAAAGTTCCCACAGTTTGGCAATTTGCACGCATGTCTGCTGCGCTTTGGCAGTCCCGGCGTTCAGGTGGGTTCGGTCGGGTTTGGGCGGATTTGGACGGATACCGGCGCGGTCTGAACGATCCTTTCGCTCCACACTCAGATGGTTAGACTTTCAGTTGTCGAGGCTGGTGTTATTGCGACCACCGCGCACATCACGGCTATTCCTATTTATTTGCTGCCCGCTGGGACAATTCCACTCTGCCTTTCTGATGCAGAGTTTGTCACTTGTTGGGCTGGCTAGAACTCAGTAAGATCAGCGGGGTGCAGCTATGGGCTCTGCATGAGTGAAGATTGCTGAGTTTGCTGCCATTGCTCGCCCATTCTGCTTTCTTATTTTTCTATCTCCGGTCATGCTCTTCTGCTATCAAATGTTAGCTTTCAGATACCTAGAGCGACTTTAAAAAGTACAGGGGTTGTTCAACTGGTCTGAGGCCTCACGGCATCTTGCATGTGCAGTGGCAGCACACTCACTGACTTTCGCGATTTGGCAGAAACCCTATACTGCTTGGAAAGAGTTGATATATGTGCGGTTTTACTTACATGCTTTAAACATGCAGCTATTCGGCTCTATAGTTCATCACTGCCTTTCATTTGGTAAGTGCCTTGTTTCTAGATGTATTCCATTACTGTCTTTCACTTGGTAAACGCCTTGTTTCTAGACGACTTTGATTGCGGGTTTGGGCGGTATCTCTCGAAAGTTTTTTACTGGTTGCCATTGTCTTTTTCGCAAGAGGTGTTTATGACGTCTTCTCCTTATCTGTCTTACTTTTTTAGATAATGCGGCAGGCCAAAGATTTATGCGCTTCTACCGCGCTGCATCGGTCGGAGATGATACTTTATCTCTCACTACCTTGCAGGCTGTGTACACCAGTGCATAATAGTCAAGAAAGGCTGACTATTGCATTATTGTGATTGTTCTCTTTTTGATTTCTTTTGGTATGTAGAGTTGTCAACATTCCTCCTCAATTGCTGTTAGTCTCTTTCAGCTCGTGGACGTTGCTAAGAGTTTGTTGATAGAAATGGAGATCTAAACAAATGAAGATGAAGCTGCAAAGATGCCAGGGCGGAGTCATCGTCGGAGCTTGTGTTGTAAGTGGATAGCAGATGCCTAATCATGTAAACTACAAAATTTGGGTTTTTCTCCAAATTTTCCACCCTCAGCGTATTGTCGCTTTTCTTTCGGCTTTATTCGTAATCGATATAAATATAATGCTCTCTACTGGTATATTGTAATTTTGGTGGGCATTTCGAAAGGATTTTGGTAACGGTGCGGAAGGCTCCAATGACGCTTCTGCAATCAGCATTTAATGTCATCCATTTTGCCAAGGCTGCTGTAAGCGCTTACTTTCATGGTACTCTCTCCGAATCAAGATATAGTAATGTGCATGGTTACAATCGTATTTTTCGCTCTTGAATGGACCATATGGGTTGTTACTTAGGCAGTGAAACAGCCAGGGTCCCCAATCAGTATCACATAAAAAACAAAGTACTGAGTCTGCCTGGACTCTGCTTTTAAATACTTTGATGGAATCGGAGTGCATAGAGAAAGTGAGTGCAGTGTGCTCCAGTGCTCCAGTGTGCTTTGAAAAAGCTCATAAATTGAAAGCTCTTGGAAAGTTTCGAGAATTATCTTACTAGGTCCGCCTTCGGTACATGGGTACTTGTTAAACTGTTTCAGGTATGCGAGGATCCCAAGGGAAGTGTTCATTTCGGTGTTGTTTCCTGCGCTGCTTGCTCGGCGTTTTTTCGGCGCACCATTGCCGAGAATCGCAAATATTCTTGCCGGCGCAGCTTTGATGGCCACTTGAGTTGCCCCATAGACCAAAGTGGGTGGCCCTACGAGTGTTATGTATGAGGTCGTTCCATAATTCCAGATTATCGTTGCTATTGCCGTGCTTGTCGTTTGCAAAAATGTCTATTGATGGGAATGGATCCTGGATGTAAGCTGCTTCTGTAAAATATCATGCATGTAGCTCGTTCTCATAACGTCTAAGTAAACCCAACAATTGCAGGCGTACAGCTGCACCGAGACCTCTACGGCTCTAAAGTTAAACCATCATCGTTGGAAGCATCTCTCTCTTCTCGTTCGAGCTCTTCGTCGTCCACTTATTCGCCGATCTCGTGGTAATTTTAATCACATCATCTGGAAGATTTGATAATTTTCTTTGCAAAAAGAGATCACAGGCGTGTGTGTATATGGTCCGAACATACTGGAGTTTCGTATTTCAAAATGGGCATCATATTTACAGTGCTGGCTTGGAGGAACAACTTTTTGCTCTCTCTCGCACAACAGTTTTCGCTCCAAATCCGCAAATTCTCGCGAGCGGTGGAAGTTGGGTCTCAACTGACCAGGTGTGTTTGAGAGTTTTTGAACGAGAATGACAGGCAAAGGCAACAGATGTCATTTTTCTTAATCTTTCTTGCATCATACTCCTTCATTCATCATCTTCCTGAAATCAAATTTATCATCTGATTTGCTGTTTTTTGACCACAGATGCCTATTTGCAGTTGCGGTCGCCAACCCCAGTTGTCAGTACTTTTGATATGCAGCCGAAATCATATTCAGGTCGGTTTTTCTAGCTTTATGGTTTATCAGTGCCTTTTTGCTCGGAGGTTTGAATGAAACCCTGTATGTTTCTCAGATTCGTCATCGGCCGTAATAATCGAACAGCAGCGAAAGAACATGATCGAAACCATGATCGACTCCTACAGACAATTACTAGAACGTCGTCGTCTCGTATATTGTCCGGGATCCATGCGAGACATTTTGGGCGGGACAATGCCGGTTGGCATTGTGCTTCTTATTTGACTTTCAACAAAGTTTTCTTTTCCAGACTTTACGGCCAGCATGTTATTACGGCGAGAGAGTGAGACGTGATCGTTTGCGCGTTGACATCGCACTCTTCGTCGAATTCCTCAATACGATCCAGCCTTTTCCAAGTCTTGAACTGGACGATAAGGTATGGTTTTGCTCTGATGCGTCATATTTCATGGTAAACTTTGACGAAAGGCTGTTTTTTTTTCTCAGTTTTGATATAGAGGCTTTTGGTCTTTCGCATCAAAAACGTATAGGATGATTAAGATTGCACTTATGAAGAACTTCTCTGTGACTTTTTCTATCCTCGAAAAGTACTACATTACAATGCGCGCGGGCGGCTTGCAAACGAACAGGTAACCTGCCTTACCTTCCCATTTTATTGCTGTTCCATGCTCTTCTTTTTAGAATTTTCCATAACGATGGAACTTACACGGACTTAGAAGATCCTGATTTAATAACTGTAGAAGCGAATAAAGCTGCTGCATCAGCTGGCGACCGTGAAACATTGAACAGGTCAGCCTTCCTTGCATTAAGTATAGTTGGCTTTGACATTTTCTCATTAATTACTCTTCCAGTTTTGTTTAGGTTGTTCATACAACCATTAAAAGACTTCATGTCAGAGTTATCGGGTCCCATGTACCACAACAATATGTCTGACGCGGAGTTCTGTGCTTTGAATGCCATTCTGCTTTTTGATCCTAGTAAGCAATACGCATGTAGATAAGTCGGTCTCATGTCGACCTCGTTTGGGTATTTTTAGGGGCGGAGGGCTTGAGTGAACATGGGAGTCAAGTAGTGGCTGACGCACGCAAACGCACCTACGATCATTGGTTTGCTTTTTACAATAATTTGGGAGTTCAGGATATTGGTGAACAAGTAGGTAACACCTTGCTACTAATTCCAGCTTTGAAGGTCAGTTGTCATGGGTTTTATGTCGTCGGAAGGTTCCATAAATTTTTAGGCGATCGTTCAAGCTACCCAGGAGAATTTCCGACTCATACAAGTCTTCGATCTCTTCCACTACGACAAGATCATAGATGAACTCATGCACTTGGTTTCCTAAATCCAGCTTCTTTATATATGTATGTTTAGACTTCTTAAGATATGCACATGTTCGTTCAAACCGGGTAAATCCGTCAGGCGCTTGATTTTCTCAAATATCTTGTTCTTGCTTGAAGAGGTTTTCAGATGTCTTAGTTCTCGATTTGGCCTGAATGCTGTGTATTGCCTGTTTCCTATCCTCAAATGCTCTTATGTACGCATTAAGCGACCACACCTTAAGGCGCCCTTGGCTGCTATTTTCGATGCGTTGGATAACATGCTCCTCATTGCACGGGTAAACCATGCTCAGGGGTAGAGGTTATACCTAGATTACGATAACTTTCATATGCAATCATTTTACTGCAGGCTGACCTCATGTTTTTTTTCTCTACGACTATCTTTCCGTAGTTTTGATCATTTAATCGGGACGCATTTGTACTTAGTCCATGTGTTATCTGCAGCATATGTTATCTTTACCTTGCAAGAAGACCGTTGTCGAATTGTTGTTGTATTAATCATAATCATTATTCATGTATAATAGTATAAATGAAGTATTTAGTAGTTGTTGCGTATCATGTTAGGTGTATCTATCACTTATGATAACGCAGTATTACGACCGTATCGGTTTCGTCTATGCTTTTGCTTCGCTGAGAGGGTTTCGTATTCAAAGTGAGCAACCAAAAGAATTCTTTCGCGTTTTCTAGCTTCCGCGTTTTTGAGTTCTTGCTGGCATTTTAAACCGCCTTAAGCGGGTAGACTCTTTGTAGCTTCACAGCAAATAGAGGAACTCAGAACTGCAATAGATCTATCTCAGAATGGAACAAAAAATGTGTGAAGTTACCAGCTGTCAGTACCTATTGTATATAACAATAGGTACCAATGACAGTGCCAACGTCTTCCTTTACCCTCAGCAGGACCAGTTTGCGTTACGCGTGGAATAAGACACATTTTGCAGCAAGATCTTTATTTGCTTTGCGTTCGGCATGTATAATGTTTTAATTTTATCCCTTTCACAACTAGAAATTTCACCGTATATCAGCGTATATTTGCGATTCTCGAGCACCATTCTGAGTCACATGTATCAATCACCGGTGATATGGGCTCGACATTTTAGAACATCGTAGTGCTGATCATCATCTGGTTACAATGGGCTGAGTGCAAATAGAATGGCGGACGCTGTGCGACAGGTGAAGCCAATTTTTTCTCTGTATGCTTATTGTCGGTAGACTCATATAGTACGACTACAGTAGCAGTCTCTCGACTTATGATTACACCGTAATGTTCAGGGCTTCATTTGCCCTTTTTGCATGAGCGACCTCGGCGATTTCCCTCGCCTCGAGAGCCACGTCAATAGCGTTCATCCTGAACGAGGACAAGATTTGACTGAGACTGTCATTGATAATGTGAAAGGTAGGTCAGAGTTTCTTGGTAGAGGTGAGGCAACCTAGTTAGGCTTGATTATATGTTCATCCACATGTGGCGAAGGACTAACGATTATTTCTACCCAGTTCCTTGTCTACATTGGCAGCCTTCGACTTTGCTTAGGAGTGTAAATTGTCGTTCGTAGCTGCTGAAATGTGCAACTTTAGGACTTTTTGACAAGGCGAAGAGAAGTATGCGGATACTTGATGCTAAGATGAGCGCGGAGCTGTCACAGGTTCTTGCTTTACCGCTGAATTGTCATAAGACATGGAGCATCAGGTGTGTTTAGGTGAACATGGGCGTTTCACATAGCGTGGCTGATCTTGCAAGCATGGCTTCTGCTGTTCACGAGCGTGTCAATGAGAAAGCTAGAGTCGTTCGACCTCCGGCTCCTGTACGACCACCTCCAGTGAGAGCAGAGATTGGTTAGTGTGGAACATGTCACATATGTTTGTAGAGTATATCAGTTCAATCCTTTTATCTAGGGGTCACTCGTTCGCATACTGAATTCTTTCAAAATGTTCGGGATTCTTCGGTTAACGAAAGTGCTGTGAGGACCAATATGCTGATAATTCGTCTTGATCGGCTTATCAATGAGTGCCCGGTTGATCCTTTCAAAAGAAAAGGTGTGCATACGCGTCATCTCATTTTTTTCTGCTATGTATTCGTTTACCCAGAATTTGAACGTGAGATCGTGCCATGGTCAGCTGATTCGGAGTCGTTGCATTGCACTAGATGTGCTGCAAAATTTACATTAGCACGACGTCGACATCACTGTCGACTGTGTGGACGGGTTATGTGCCATCAGTGCAGCAAGTTTCTATCATTTCTATCCGCTAGTGAGTTTTTATTTTGAAAACATTTTGTATATTGTTTGCAAAATGAAATAGTTGTGAATTTACAATCTATTCAAACATCGATGTAGCTTAGATGTTTAGGAAAGCTAACGAATCCTGCTTTGGCAGCTGAGATGCTGAACACGGATGCGGCTGCCTCATCTACAACGGAAGTATCTCCTTCACATAGCCGTCGTCTCTTGGAGATGACGCAGAAGACCACCGGAAAGGTGATCTCGTTCATTGGCGCCGTTTCAAAGATGCAGACGACGGATGGCACTGAAGTCAGTCTCGCCTCTCTGCTCCAGCAGGTAGACCAACGCCGCCTAAATCCCTTATGCACGTGTTGTGTTTGTGACTGGTTGGGCTGATGCTTCTTTGCATCCATTCGCAGTTGCATTGTGGTTGTCCTCGGTGTTGGCCCTTATCCTTGGTTTGAGCAAACTGACTCATTGCTGGTGACATCGTCGTCTTCACTTATACCTGATTCAATACTTCATCCGAATGTGCTAATTTGAAGGATGCAGATGAATGTCTACGGGTTTGTGGATCCTGCATGACGGATCTCAGCAGAAGAGAGCAGATGATGGAGCAACGAAATCCTCCAGTGCTAGCTGAACAGTATGAAACATTGGATCGAATGATTGCCGAGACCTCCGCAATGGTGCCGAGCTATACGCGCATGGCTGATAGCATCAAGTCAGTTTTCTATTTCGGACTTGAGCACCAAGTTTGTTTAGATTTGTTTCGAGATCTTCCATAGAATTTCGTATTCACTCCATTATTTTGACCATCTCATATAGCTCTGTAATAATGTTTGTACAAATATTGTTCTCCTATCGCCTATAAAATTTCGTATTACCTATCAGGCCCATAACTAATCGGGTTAATGCAAAGCTAGGTTACCATGTAGTACTTCTTTATAATGCTCACCATAATCAGGCTTGTCCTAACCAAAGCTGCATATTTCGTTGATGGAAGTTGGCGTTTTAACTTTTTGCTCTCGGAATTGCAAACTCCGTTTTATCCACTCATTTATCCTCCTTTGATAGGACGGTTAGACGTATATAGTAACAGAATATTCAATTTCCATGAAGTCATTATAGTAGATCCATACTTATCCTGTTTTCAGCAATGGTGAAACTATGTACACACTGGCAGCTGCAGAACAGCTTCGAAGTCGACTCCTTCAAAAACAACGCGACATAGACAATCTTAGGTCTGCGAATGTCAACAGCTCTCAGCAAATCATGATCTCCTGTTTTGTAGTCAAAAGATTGTCGCTGAAGCAGATAAGGAGAGCTGCGGTGTTAAAGAAGCTCAATTACGCAAAAATATTCGCTTTGCTTGTCTTCAAACATTGCAGGTAAGCGAGTTGCAGTGTGATACTATAGTTCAGCTCAAAGCTTTTGAGAGTATGGTAACGTCGACGGTTTCATTGCCTACGGAGCAGCAGTACGAAAAGTTGGTGGAGACTCATAAGAAAGAAGTCGCCAGGCAAATAGAGGAATCTCGCAACATGCGCGCAGCCAATGACAGAAATGGTGTTAGGGTCTGTATCTAACTTCATCCAATTCTCTTCTCATCTTTCAAGTTTCAAGGCGTGCTCGTCTTTGCCATCCATTGTACCGAAGGAGAGACCAACACTGAATGTAGCCCGAGAACGTTTGCGAAAGCAAGCTGAGGATGGATGGACACCGCAGCAGACTAAGTGAGTATCTTTGTGGATTTTTCGAACGTGACGCAGTATTCTTTGGCAGACGGAAAAAGGGAGCTTTTGCAGGCTGTGGTTATTAGCAGCATCACAGAAGGTTTTTTTATTAGTGAGTAGAAATCAGAATTGATGACACACAGACTACAATATTTTATGCATATATCATAGGCACGGGGGACGGGTGGCGTAGTGGTATGAGGCGCCGCTATGACCAGATCGGACACAGGTTCGATCCCCGCCCCTGGGCCAACCAAGCCCTCTACCCCCCGGGGCCGGTAAATTGGGACCAGAGTAATCTGGGAGGATAAGAGCACTGACCTGGAAACGGCTGGCCCCCGCAAGTCACTGTAATAGGCTCGCACGCATACAATTGCCTCTTCGACTATGAAGTTAGTGTGTGCGTTCGGCGCATGCCCTCAGAGGGTATTGAAGACGCCGAATCCTTTATCCTTTATCCTTTTATCATAGGCACTGATAATCTCAAGTGAGAGTGCTCAAGTGCTTTTTTGTTGATCATCGAGTCGCTTGAAAAAATGACATAAAGGATATCATTTCATTTTGATATCATTCATGATTGGATGATTGAAGAGTTGTCTTTATCTAGTAAACGCTCTATTTTCCTCTGGTTCCTCGCCCTCATCCAAAAAAGATCATCGTTGTGGGAAACTCACATGCTTCATATTTGGAAAACTTCTGTGAAAAGAACCTCCAAGAGATATAAGCGTTAAACTTCTGTTTGGGTTCATGCCATTGTCTAGCAGGGGTAAGATTGTTTTGGGCTCCACTCAAGATGCTTCTCGCTACTCATCGTCATCTAAACTGGATCGTTATAGCTTCAAATAAAACTATGACGAGGCATTACCTACTGTTTTTTATGTAAGACTTGGATGAGGAATCACGTGAATCACTTCCGCATCCTATATTGTATTACCTTGCAATGTTCTCCACACGAAGGATTTGGAGTTTTCTTCTCTATTTCCGAGTCAAACTTTGATGTGATTCTGTTTCATTGTGCTTGAAGTCTAGAGGCAAACACTTCAACAAGAAACAATTTTTTCCTTGTTTCTTTGATTTTTTATTAGGTTTGAACGGAACTGTTGCAGCTTTTCACACTCCTTGAAATGCTGTTTCCAAGGAGAAAATTACTTATGGACAAGTTTGTACATCTTCTTCTGAACATCATCCTCTTTTGGATCTGATATATGTTTTCGTTCCAAAAAATGAGATCATGTTGAAATTTCTTGCTTTGGAATACAGGTCTCCATGTCAGATCAACAAAACTTTATTCCTTTCACTTTCTCTGAGTCCACCAGGAAGAGGCGAGGTTTTTTTTTTGAAGAAATGCGAAACATTATGCGTCAAAATGCCTTGGGACATGTGCTTCCGAGTTTCCATTTTCTGTCTAGCAGTAAAAAGTGGGTACCTCTAAACTTCTTGCTATATCTTCTAGGAAAAAATCTTTTCTGTCGATATAATCCTCTTTAAGTTTAGCGAACACAATTGTGTAGAACATGCCAAATTGCATTTGAAGTATTTGAGGATAGAAATTTTCTAAACACTCTGTACTTTGTGTGACGTACTTAGTAACACTTCGCGTCAGGCATCAAGTTTGTATCTATATTTGTGAAATCTGAAATTTTACGGCAGAGATTTTGCAGCTAGAGAGTACATAGCACAAACTTTTTTGAAGTAATGCTATATGAAAAAATGAGTTCTATTTGAATTTAGGAGCTATAACCCATTCATGGAAGAGGAAGACAGACTCCATCCGATGTTCGAGCAAAGAGACATTATTAAAGGGTGAGAGGGGTGTGACGATTTCTTTGCAATGATATTTTGATAGATTTGCTTCAGCTATCTGGCTCAAGCGGCATCGGCTGGTCGATTAGAAGAAGTGGAGATGCTTGAACGTAATTTGCAAGATTTGGAGAATGAAATGCTTAAAATGGGTCTAATCTCACCTACATAATATTGGCATCTTATTTTGGCGTGGACCTACTATGCTTGTCAGACGTATTCGTCAGATTTCCAGACATTCCATTGTTGCTATCGCTGCTTGCTTCATCGAAGCACTCAAGAGCATAGTTACCCACCGGTAAAACACCTTTGCACTCGTACCTGTCTTTCCGATGATTATATGAATGAACTCTCAGCTATGCATGTTACAGAGCTTTCTGTGCAAATTAGTCTCTGGCTAAGTGAGTTTACCATCACTTGGCTATCCTCGGTGACCAATTCATCAGAATCTATCAATTCTGTTGCCATTACTTCATCGTAGCAGACATATTCCTAACAGTCACCTCCTTTCTTTATTACTTACATGATATTACTAAAACGATTCTCTTCGGGTGACCTCCTGAGATTGTGGTACTTGAATGCTATCAATTGCATTTTCTGTAATAAAGTATATAAATGCTTTTATAATTTTTTTAATGTTATTGATTGGAAAAAACTGTAGCAACTGGACATGGAGCGTAATTTTATGTGCTTTTGTTGCAAAAAGATGTTTGATGGCAGCTTATCGTGACCCTGATACATACAGCGCTTAACATAGTATGCTTGCGGAGCCGAGATGAGCGGTGAATTTTGCGCGTGAAGAAATAGCTACTACTGTATTTCCAGCCACTTGCGCGCGCAAAATGGCGGCATTAGTATTGTGAATATTTGTTCACTACTTGTTCATATTTTACCGCATCGTTTTAGCGCACCTCAAGCACACTATGTGAAGCGGGAATCTACTCGACTCTAAATCTGTACGAACCAGACGGAAGAAAGTTGGACCTCTTTTTTTTTGAAAACAAATCAAGGGAGTCCAAGGCGTATAAACGTGACTGAAATCGCGTACCTGTTGGCGCATATGATTTCAGAGCGTTACAAAGTCACAACGTAGTTTTACTCTATACTGGATCAAATCTAACCATATAGTTCGCAAGGCGCCTCCATTATGGATGTATAAAGGCAGTAATCCCAGTATTACATGCTCATATGTGGATATAGGGGCACTTGCATCTAATTTGCTCAAAGGAAAGCCCATATGATTTATACATGGAGAAACAGTACAGCTCTGAGCTCCCGCCAACACAGCACGTTTTCCAAGTTTGTCCTATCAGCCTCCATGTGGTACTCTTACTAATTCGCTCGGAAAAAGGTATGGATGGCAGCTTTCACAGTTGACCTCCTTGTCAATGTGTTATACAAGCTAAGCTTGAGTGTCTTGAGTAACTTATGTTAGATTTATCTCCGGACAACTTTCTCCCACCAAATTTTCTCTCCAAACAACTTCCCCAAATTTTCGTTTTTGATGCAGATTTAGCATATCGTTGGAATACTTTCTTCATGTACTTTCTAACAATGGTGCAAACAGGCTTTTCGTCATCTGCGAGGAATTCACCAGCATTTTGCAGAGCCGACTCAGAATCGAGGTTCCATTGTTTTAACTTTGTTGGGCACGATTCACGCACGTATGAACGAATTCTTTCAAAAAACATGTCAAAGGTATGGGATGAATATTGTTTACGTACTGCAGGCTCGGGTAGATTTTTCGAAAATATCTGTGTCTTGAAATTCAAGCACTAAAGTAGATGCTCACTATTGGCATTCAGAGTCAAAAATTTCTGATTAAGGCAATCGCCAAAGATTCGTTCATTTCCTGCTTGGGATTAGGACATCTTGACCACAATTTCTGCAGAAAAACTAGGGTAATCAGTGCTTGAAGAAATCTAAATTTTATTAGGTTGTCCCGAAAGTTTTGTCGGTTTATTTCATCGCTCACTAAAACACACAGAACACAGATCCATGGACGATCTAGGTACCATTTGATTCAGAATTTTAATTTCTTTCTTGCAGCTATATTTGCTCTCTGATCTACTCTGTCTTTGCAATGTTATAGCTATGGTTTTTTGAGCAGTTTAGCAATAACGCCAAATTCTTCCTGAAATTTCAAAACTTTTATCTCGTTATTTCAAAGATAACCGTTATGTAGAGCAAACTTTTGGCTACATTTTATGCATTTTAGATTACATGAGTCACGTTTACCGAGTCGGTAAAAATTATTTATTCAACAAAAACCACGGCTTTTTGTTGACGTTTACCATGTAAAAGTACCGGAAATTCCACAAAGCTGCTTTTTCAGAGCAGCTTTGTGGAATTTCATGTGGAATTTGTGGAATCAAGCTTGGTTATGATGCATAACTAATGTTCAATAGGATTCGTGTTTTAATTGACAAAAAATTCAGACGCTTTCGTGTATTTGCTGCAACTGCGTGTTTCATGGCTTTGCCAAAAATCGAGACCTTCGAAGAAATATTTTTTGAAGCTAAAAGCAGCAAATGGGGAGAATCTAAAAACATTGCCTTCTAGTCCGAGAATTGTTCTATTTGAGCCATACTTAATCCTTTCCGAAACTTTGGAATGAAATTTTTAAAAAACAGTCTAACTTTGAGCAGATAAAATTGATGGGTGGAGAATTTTGGCAATTTCACAAAAAGCATACAAGATCCTAGTTCGAAAATGTATTCGCAAGAAAGAGGAGGAAAAGCTGCATCAAATGCATGTTGAAACTCATTCAGGTCTTTATCTTGCGTGGTTTTATAGCGGTTTGAAAAAACCGACAAAACTTTAGGGACAACCTAATAATTTGCGACTTTCAGGTAGCTATCAAATTGATAGTAATGAGTAAACTGATGAGTGAAATTTCCTCCTAGAATCTGCTTGAATTGTGAGACTTCTCGAAGTACTTATTCCGGTTTGTATTGTTCAGTTGAATAGTGTATTGCAGATTTCATATGTATCATCGTACAACTCAGCACAATATCTATTGCAATTCATGACACATAAATTTACTGTCTCTACAGCACACAGAGATTAATTAAGCAATAATCAATAATTATTCATAATGTCATTTATTGATATAATAATTAATAAGTGATTATTATTGAGAACCTGTGAAATCGTTCAGCATTCAATAGATAGCATTGAATTCTACCATGTGATCTAGTTGCCACCATGGAATGACTGCATTCGCTTCCAGCTGACCGCATTTGTCTCTCGTCTCATCACCTGCTAAATGTGTAGTGGATTCTCCACGTAATCTCCAGCTTATTGCACCTGTGAGTAATTTCGTAATTATTCCGTGGTTGCGTCACATACAAGACAATCTGCACGGTTTAGTAGATGCTCTCGCATCGCTGCGCAGTCGCACTGATTAGCAATGTTAATCACCTTAATTACACTCGCATAATTAGTAAGTCGGTTGTGGTACAGAAAGAGATCAATCAAGATCATTCCAGCTGTAAAATGAATGAAATCATATAGCACCGCATGTGGAGCAGCTTCATAATAGAATAAGTGTTTAAACTGAATGCTAAGCTTTTGCTTTTAAGAGCACTTTGTAAATTTTTTCTCAGTAAAAATCCGTATGACTACTATAGTGTCTTGTGCCGTTGTTCAACCATAGAAATGTTTGGGGTTACAAATTTTGCTGTAATGTTATGTGCTTAGCCCCTACTCAAACTATTCAAAAAGACTTTTTAGTGATCTCAAACCTCTTTGAGAGCAGAGTTTTTCAAATTTCCCTTCTTGCAACGTAGCACTGAGTGTTGAAATGCGATCAAATCTTTTATTATTCTATAAATCGGGGAAATACCTTATGTTGATAATTTTCAAGTACCTTAAAGCTGTAACCCGTACCTTGGATTTTTTCTTGCGATTCATGTGGTTTCCACAAAATTCCTAAAAGATATGCTTGTTATGCCTCAGTCGTAAGACTTCGAGAGCTCTCTCAAATGATATTTTGAAGAAAGTACAGTACGGTCGCGACAGCCTGTTGTAGTGCCGAGGCAGAGATCAAAATCAATAAATGGTTAAAAAAATAGAATTTAGCAAACATTTTTTAGGCCATCATAAAGAGCTCTCCAAAGGCTCCTCATCAAAATGTGGAGAGTCTTATGTTCTTCGAGTTACATTGCAAATGCAAAGGTTCGGAGTTAGAAATCCGTGCTTCCAAAAACGGGCTTATCTACTATTAGGTTGGCTCGAAAGTTCTGGGACATTTTCGAACTAGATCTGCTATTTCTCGAAACTTAACGCATATGCATTAGGTAAAGGCACCATTCGATAGAGCAAAGCAAGCTCTACAAGATGGTATGCAAAAGTTCGCACCAGCTTCGCCACCGTAAATTTGCACCCAAAATCTGAGTCGTACTAAAATTCAAAAAATCGCGAAAAATTCATATCTTTGTTCAAACGAATCCTACGGACTCCAACTTGCTCACAAAAATTGCACACTACATCAAACACTCTGATGCACCGTTGCTGTGTTTTTTCCTCATCTAGAAATCGAGAAAATGAAAATTTTCTTGTTTTCACAAAAACGAAGCTATGCTATTCCCACTCATGTAATTATATAGTACAAGCCCTTAGAAGTATAATCGTAATTTTTCAGCTTTCTGCAGGCTCTAGTTCCCGAAAATCACCGAATTGAGCTCTCCTCATTCGGGCGTTTCATGCTAAAAACAATATTTTTCGACAACTAGGGCTTACGGAAAGCTGAAAAATTACGGTTATACTTCTAAGGGCTTGTACTATATAATTACATGAGTGGGAGCAGCATAGCTTCGTTTTTGTGAAAACAAGAAAATCTTCATTTTCTCGATTTATAGATGAGGAAAAAACACAGCAACGGTGCATCTGAGTGTTTGATGTAGTGTGCAATTTTTGTGAGCAAGTTGGAGTCCGTAGGATTCGTTTGAACAAAGATATGAATTTTTCGCGATTTTTTGAATTTTAGTTCGACTCAGATTTTGGGTGCAAATTTACGGTGGCGAAGCTGGTGCGAACTTTTGCATACCATCTTGTAGAGCTTGCTTTGCTCTATCGAATGGTGCCTCTATCTGATGCATATGCGTTAAGTTTCGAGAAATAGCAGATCTAGTTCGAAAATGTCCCAGAACTTTCGAGCCAACCTAATAGATTCTAGACTATACAAGAATTTTTTTCAATGGGATATTTCCATCCGTAAGAAACACCGATAACCATATCACTGTACTAACCGTGCCTCCTTCTAGGATGAACAAAAAAAATTTGATTTTTTTGATTTTCCGTTCTTCCTTTCTTTTTTACAATGTTTGAGGTTTCGAATGTTTATACTGCATTTTCTTATTTGAGAAAAGGCCAGAGGCAGAGTTTGCCTTTTTCCAGCCTTGTATCCACAAAACTGTTACATGCAGGAGCAAATGAGACGTTTGCAATTTTTTGTGGCAGAGATCCAACTTTTCATACTGCATTGTTCATCGATGTCAGCTTCAAACATTACCTGAATAGAGGCCTACACGAATGTTCAGAGGTTATTTTGTGGAGCTTGCTGCTCTATGAATTAGTGCCTGTCTCAATTTCTTTGCCT